TTTCCAATTAATGAAGTAGCATGTATATTTCCAGATGTCCCTTGCATATACTGCACTAATGCACACACATTCTTTTTTGTAAAAGATGGGTTTAAAATGAGTAGATATAATATATAGAAGGTTAAATTGTTCTGTTTCTGTACACTTACATTTCCAATTAATGAAGTAGCATGTATATTTCCAGATGTCCCTTGCATATACTGCACTAATGCACACACATTCTTTTTCGTAAAAGATGGGTTTATATGATAAAGGACATTTTTTAATTTGCTTATTTTTAGAATATATCTTGGACATATTTTTTATCATTGCATTTAGAGTTAGCTTATTATTTTTATAGCTGCGTAGTAGTCAACATTATGTATGTACTATCCTACATGACTATTCCTAATATGTTTTAAATATTCTGGATTCTTTCTCAAGAGTATACAGATAAATATCTTCTGTTTGACCCAGAGCTGGACTACAGCCTAAATATTTGAATTGCAAGAAAAGCACATGCAACCAGGTAACTAGCGTTCTCAGCTCAGATCCATAGAAAAATCCAACTTTAGCTAAAGAAGATGGAATGTATGTGGCCATCTGTTCAAGTGTCTATAACAAAATGGATTATTCCCTTTTCAGTTCCATTATCATTTCCAAAAGAATCTAAAACTACATGAAATCTAAAGAAGAAAATATACATAATCAGTCCCTGAGTTGTTTACTGCTTATATTTGAGTCTAATCCCTTTGGTTTTTTTCCTCATCACATATATATTTGAATATACCATTTGAAATTACATTTATTCACCCACATATTTGAACATCTTTCCATGTTTATATATGTTTAACAGTATTTGGGGGAAGGTAGGTTGCCCCCACCCCTTGATTTTAAATTCCCATCTCAGTTTTTATCACAGTTTTTATGCTGACATAGGTGCTATATGCTAAGTGAAATATGCAAGAAAGAAGTGGAAAATTTCCTCTTCTTTTCCCTTGACATCCTTTTTTACTAGATATATGGTTTGTTGTTTTATTATATTAAGATATATCTATTATTTTTATGATGTTTCAGATTTTTTATATTACAGTACAAATAGGAATATAACATTCTCTTGATAGGCACAGATGTAAACAAAAATGGTCTTTTGCACATCATTAAAGCAGCAATTATATTAAGACATCGAGTATTCCCGACAAATAACCAAACTGCTAATTCTCAGAGGTACTTGAATCGGCACAGTTACATATTACTTTAGATTACTATAAAAACTTCCCCCAAACAGTAATATTTGTTAGAAACACAATCAACACGTCCGAAGCAATATAAAAAACTGACATCCCTACCTAAAAACTTAATTTTTCATTTAGGATTATCATAACCTTTTTTTCCCCTCAAAATAAGGAAGATTAATTTCACAAGTTTTCTTTCATCATTTATCTCGGCCACCACTGCTTTTTGATTGAACCATAAAGTGCTCTATTCAAAAGTTAGCTTTTTCAACCTTATGAACAATTTTTTCCACAGGTGTAATCTGATCACCACCTCCCCCCACTGTGCACTTTTAAAATGTCTGGAGGAACACAAAATCCCGATATTAATTACCTCAAGAGACAATGACTCTCACAAAACGATACTCCTTTCCCGTTACTCCTAAGCAGCAGTTTTCTCACCTTTACCTCATATCCTCAAGAAATCTCCTCAAATAACTAGCATTCACGACAGCCATTACCTCCAAGCGGCTTCTCCTCCGCGGAAGCCTCCGACGCCTGTATGTACTGCGGCTCCTCCCCCAAGACTGGCCGGGCACAGCGCGCTTCCAAGCTCCTGGAGGATGCTCCGCCCCCTCCCGGTGATGGGGAAAGCAGGAGGTCCTTACTTCATCTAGAGGGAGGGCAATCACCAAGTTAAACCGAAATACAGTTAAAGGGAAGAAATCTTCCCCTTAAAGAACTTCAAAGCGTCACGGTAACATATGTCTGTTTAATTTCCATTCAAACCCCTAGGGTGGGTGATTTCCTGAAAAAAAAAAAAGGTAGCAAATCTCTTTTACATATAATAAAAATGTGGTTAAAATATTCCTTACATATTTTTTCCTGGCCCTCTCTCTACTTTATTTCTGGTTAATTTAAGACCTACTGGTCAAATTCCACTGAAAAGCATGCTAAATATATTGATTGTGATTGCAGTGAATTAATATTTTAGGTAGAATTAATTCTTTACAATTTTGAATCTAAACCTAGGACATAATATGTCTCTCCTTTTATTCAAGTTACTTATACTTCTTTCCTTAGGTCATTTCTAAAGAAAAATCCTCAAAATCTGATTATACTGAAGTGGGAAAAAAAATATGTATCAATGGTAAAACCACCATAGACCAAAGTCAAAAATCAACCACACACTTCGGAGTGCTTTTCAAGTGCCTTCGTTTATTCATATGATTGGATAAGCAAAAATATCCCTAAGTTAGCTCTTATATTTCAGTAAGAAAGAAATGAACAATAAGGTAGAGAGAGGGGAAAAGGACACAAACAGACAGTTCACAAGGTTCTTCCCTACTCCTGATATTTACTTGCCTGTGAAGAGAGCTCAAGCAGTACAACTTGAGGGCTCTCTGCTTTTAGACTAGAGAGACACACGTCTAGGTTGATGCATAGTTTTGCTTAAGTCTGGGGTTCTGTTAGTTCCATTTCACTCTCACAATAAGCAATATCTTGCAATTTATCTTCTATTCTTAATAAAGCTGACATTTTGGTTTCATCTGCTATTCCAATAGTTTTTGTGTCACAGTTTGTTCATTGTTTTCAAGATATTACAATTGTAAACTTTTATGTACCCACTAAGTTACCTCAAAATGTTTGATAATGCAAAAATGGATAGAAATACATTATTGGGCAAGTAAGAAAATTTTGATTAGCTCTAACAGAAATGGGGAGAACTGGTAATCAGCACCTCCTAAAACTCTTTTAACATACAAAGCATTTTTATCTCTCCCAGAGTAAAGTCTGTTTATTTTAGTCTTGTAGTGTCTCATATGGTTTATCCCTTTTTTCTGGATTTGTTGAGGTATAATTAGCAAATAAAAATTGTATATCTTGAAAATGTACAATGCGATAATTTGATATATGTATATATTATGAAATGATCACCACGATCAAGCCAATTAACATATCTATCACCTCACACACTTACCTTTTTTGTGGTGAGAACATTTCAGATCTATTCTCTTAGCAAATTTCAAATATGCACTACATTGTTATTAACTACAGTCGCCATGCATATGTTAGGTCTCCAGAATTTACTCATCTTATAACTGTAAATTTGTACCCTTTGACCAGCATCCCCCAATTTCCCCCAAGCCTAATCCATGGTACCCACTTTTTAACACCCTGTTTCTATGAGTTCAACTTTTTTAGATTCCACATCTAAGTGAGATCATGTGGTATTTGGTTTTCTGTGTCTGGTTTATTTCACTTACCATAATGCCCTTCAGTTTCAGCCATGTTGTTGCAAATGGCAAGATTCCCTTTTTCTTAAGGCTGAATAATATTCCATATACATATATACATACCACTTTTTCTTTATCCATTCATCCATGGACAGACACTTAGATTGTTTCCTTATCTTAACTGTTTCGAATAATGCTGCAATGAACATGAAAGTGCAGATATCTCTTTGAGATAGTGATTTTATTTCCTTTGGATATACATCCAGAATTGGGATTGCTGGATCATATGGTAGCTCTATTTTTAATTTTTTGAGGAATCTCCATACCGTTTTCCATAATGGGTATACCAATTTACATTCTCACCAACAATGTATAAGGGTTTCCTTTTCTCTACATCCTTCTCAACACTTATCTTTTGATTTTTGGATAATGATCATCCTAACAAGTGTGAGGTGATATCTCATTGTGGTTTTGATTTGCATTCTCCTGATGATTAGTGATGTTCAGCACCTTTTTATGTACCTGTTGACCATTTGTATGTCTTCTTCCAAAAAATGTCTGTCTTTTGCCCACTTTTTCAATCCAGTTATTTGGTGTTTTTTCTGCTTTTTTTTTCTATTTAATTGTATGAGTTTCTTATATATTTTTGGTATTAACCCCTTATCAGACGCACAACTTGCAAATATTTTCTCCCATTCCATGGGTTGCCTTTTCATTTTGTTGCTTGTTTCTTTTACTGTGCAGAAACTTTTTACTTTGATGTAGTCCCATTTGTTTATTAATATGATTTCTAATAGCAGGTTCTCTCAAGGACTCTGATATATTTTCAAAAATCAAAGCTTCTCACAATACGACTTTATAAAAATAGTTTCTGTTCATGAGAATCTGCAAAATTGTGGGATTTTGCTTGTTTGTATCAAGTTCTGCTCATTTGTATCAAGAACATAATAATGGTTCAGTGAGACATAGCAACATTAAGAACAGAGAAGTGATAAACTTTGTTTTCTAAAATCACAAGACCTTGAGAAACATTGCTAGTCAGAATAAAAAGGGTATACTCTGAGGGGTTGCTTTTTAATTGTTGCTGGTATTATTTTTACTTTCTCTGGTATTAAAAGGGGCTTTTAAAAAACCAGTGGATGTAGAACATAAACATGCCAAAATATAAAACAATGAAAATACCAAATATTTGTGAGGATGAGGAACGACTTGAAAGTTCATACACCAGTAACAGGAATGTAAATTGGTACTAACATTTTGGGAACGATTTTGGCATTATCACCTAAAGCTGAATATTATAGAGGTTGACAGAAAGCCATTTAGGGCTTTAAACAGCAGAGTGACATGTTACATTGGTAGTAGAAACCTGGCCTGTACACAGAGCTATGGGTACCCAGAGCGTATATGTAAGATGATCCAGTGGGGCACAGGAAGCAAATGTTTAAAATTCAGTGTTTTTCCTTTTGGTTTATTGTTATAAACTTCTATTTATAAATATGATATTAAATGCACAAAATAAATTATTAATACTGTAGTACATTGTATACTTTATAAAAATATTGAATTGTTGGGAGGATGCCAAAAATTTTTTAGACTGGGTGCGCTGGCTCATGCCTGTAATCCTAGCACTCTGTAAGGCCGAGGCAGGAGGATCACTGGAGCTCAGGAGTTTGAGATCAGCCTGAGCAAGAGCGAGACCCCGTCTCTACAAAAAGTAGAAAAATTAGCCAGGTGTGGTGTCTTGCACGTGTAGTCCCAGCTACTCGGGGTGGGGGCTGAGGCAGGAGGATCAATTGAGCCCAGGAGATTGAGGTTGCAGTGAGCTATGATGACACCATTGCGCTCTAGCTGGGGCGACAGAGAGAGACTCTGTCTCAAAAAAAAAATTCTTTTTTTTACAGTGGTGATAAAAAATATGTGGAAATCTCTGCTTTCTAGGACTCACGGCCCACATAGCCCTTCTCCGTGTCTTCTCCCAGATTTGCATGGTTTGTAATCATTATCTTCTCGTAAAAGGACTAATCTGAACTTCCTAAATTTCCTATATACTGATTTTGCTGCTCAGGGAAGCTGACATTATTCCCATTAATGTTTGAGATAATAATGAGAAATTGAATTATAACAAGCCATGTTCTCTTACAGAAAGATTGGTTCTTGCAAACTTCAGACAATGCTATAAAATATATGGGCATACAGTTATTCCATTTGGATTATGTAAGTGTTTTCACTGTAATATTACAAATTATAAATTTTAATACCAACAATAATTGTGTTTTCCTTTAATATCAACCTAAATTTAATTTCTAAGTTCTCTAATTGACTTTGAGACCTTGAAATTAATGAGTGAATATTTTTGGGATACCTGGAAAATTCCTAAGATAATCAGAATCCATAAACACAAAGCAGCAAACATACCAAGTTGCAGTGCAACAATTTTATTTAGAGTCTTACATATAAAAGTATATCTTTTTATAAAGCTCAAATTAAAATAGTAAAGTCAATATCCTATATGTATCATCTTCTAATATGTTGTGAGGTTAATTATATTTTCAAGCTCAAATTTAAACCTTTTTATAATATGTATGTGTATCTGGATCTAGATGTTTAAATATGCAATATAATGCTACATTAAGTAAGAGTAGTTTAGGGACAATAGAAAGGAGAGGATTAAATACCTAAAATTAAAAATGCTCTTAGAATATTTAATCTGTCCTCATAATGAAATTATATAAACTTATTTATTTTTCATATGTTCTATTATGATAGCAAAAATTTTAATATGCCTCACCTGTATGTATATTTTCAATTCACAAAAGCTAACTTGTATCCTTCCATGCTGCCTTTTATCATGCTCACAGATTCTTCATTTCAGGAAGAGCTAAAATTTTCATTTATTTTTGTGCTTCTTTCTGCTATATTTATTTTAAATATTGTATTGTCACTATTGTTAGTGAGATATTCATGGATAAAATTGTTCTTTGCTCTTAGGTGCCTATGCTCTGATTTTAATTGAGCAGCCAGTTTCCCCTAAAAGCCTCTTTTTTGATTTTCTTCCCCCAAATCTGACCCTAAATTTAGAATATAAAACTTTCAAGGTGTCTCTTACACCCAAATCATCTTTGGCAGTTTCCAGATGGCTAGAAAGTAACACAAAAGGCATACCCCCTCATTTTATAAAAGAAGGGATGAAAAATATACTTAAGTATATTTGGCGTGCTGTGTATTTTATAATTAGACCTCAGTATTAAAAGAACTACTATCTTTTTCAGATATACATTATAGAAAAACCATCAAATCGTAAAGAGAAAATCAACCTCTCCTGGATTAATTTTGTATAGTTAAAGGGCTGTTG